AATTTTTTTAATATTTATCGACAAAAATAATATCGATAGAACCAATAATATCTCCATTCTTCAAAGTTCCAGGAATTCTGGTTGTTGAAAATATTTGATATACACATTGATTTTGACGAGTACCCGTAGGTATGAGTTAAAAATCGAAATAGCACTTCGCCCGCCTCGGCGTGTAAATCAAACAACGCCGGTGGAAATAGATTGCGAACGCAACGATTTAGTGTGATTGGTAGGATAAAAAGTTAGTCGCGCGATTGTCTATTGTTTTGTGTCTTCTGTCTACCATCCTAGGAATTTTTGTTTGATATTCAAATGGCTTCATTTATATCCTATTCTAATTATTAGAATTTTAAATCAATATTTTATTATCAGTGAACTGTAGCTTCCAATTTTAATCAATTTATAAATTTTTAAAAGAAGTAAGAAATATTTCTCAAACATTTTACTTTTTATTTTTTATATTTTGAATTTATTTTTAAAAATATTAAAAAGCATTATAAAATAAATCAAACTGCCCCAAATTTTACTTACACTGCCTCAAAATTTAATTAAGATGATTTCTAAAACAAGTTATCATTAAATACATAAGCGTGTAAAAATAGATGGATTGAAAAAGAATCAAAATTTATTTCGATTACAAATCTTTTCTTCATTACAGTTTTTTTCATGTTTTTTTATCTTATTCATTTATTTCTCACGAAAAAGATATAATTAAAGAGAGGAATTATAAAATAAGTCCTTTATTAAAAAGAAAATTAAATAGAAAATTAAGGCTGAGTTGTGCCACCTTTCGGTAAACTGCAGCTGTCTGTCTTACTCTCTTACTCTTTTATGTTCTTATTTTTTTACTCTTTTATTTATCCAATAGAATTATTATATAGTTTATCTGAAGATGGAACAACTAGCTTTAAGCTACATTAAAAAAACTTTCATCGATTTCATGGAACATTTATTCGTACAAAGTCAAACGAAATAATATTTAAGCAAATTTGTAAATTCTAAATTTATCTGACTTTCAAAATGAAATATTGACATTTTATAGACTTAAATCCTTTCAATACATTTGACCCATCTACTTTTACAAAACACTGCGTACGTTAAAGGAACAAGCGAATGTACATTAATGAGCTTTTACGTTATAACAACGGGATAAACGTTTTCTATTTCTCTTCAGTTTTATAGTTACCCACTATCTGTATAGTACTCACATAGCGCGTAGGCCGTTTTATTCAGAACGAGCATTATATAAAGTTGCTGGTAGAGCAGAGTAGAAATCTGAGAAGGCGGATAAAACGAGAAGGTACGATTCCGAGGATCGCGATCGATTGTCGACGCAACGAATCCTTACGAGCTACTCATCGAGCAATGATATGCTCGAAAAGTCGGACGAAACGCTCGACGGGCACGTCCGATGATAATAATACTAATAATGATAATAATAATGATGATCATCGTAAAGAATCCTCCGATAGCTTCGTCACGTGCGACACTTCGAGAAGACTGAGCAGAGCGCAGGATTTGTAATGCGCGAAGGTGCCATATAACAGAGACGGGCTTGTTTTTTATTTGCATTTACTCGATCAAAAATCGCAAATCAATTTTATAATTTTTATTATTATTATTGTACTGCTGAACATTCAAAATTGCCTTGTATGTTAGTATTGTTAAGAATCAATGATTATCTAGAGAAATTATTTTATGCCTTGTTGAATGAGACGTTTAAACGAAAAACGAATTTTTTTATGAGTAAACACCTTAGAAAGCATCTTGGGGAAAAGTTATAGTATTTGAAACAATGTATCATTATATCTGCCTCAATAAATAATATAACTTTTTTCTGAGTCTTTCTCATATGTCCACGTGTAAATAAAAATTTAAACGTTTCCGTTTTGATGTTCTATCCTGTTTATGAAAGAAAGTAAAAATTTATCGAACAATAAAAAATTTAGTTTTCTCTTATAATCTGTTTTATTAATATTAATTAAGAGAGTTTAAAAAAATATAGACTTTATACTGGATTAAAATATGTATATTTAGCTATCAAAATAATTATTTTATTCTAGTGTTATTGGATTTAATTGAAAAAAATAATAATAATTTTGTACGATATGCGATATAATAGAATTCAATTATTGAGTAGTAATATACTTTAGCTGTTTATTAGATGATTCTAATTGTAAGCAATCAGATCAAATTCGAGGAAAATTAATTTGATGTAAATAATCGCGCCCGTCTCTGACATATGAGTTTATAATGGAAGTGATGTAAAAAAAAAAGGAAACAATTTAAAGGAAGATAAAATTACTCCCTTATTTTCTCTCATCTAATTTATTAGCAAGAGAATGTTAAGAATAGTTTACATCACTTTCATTCTGATTAACTCATAAGATTGTAGCGTGAAAGCAACTGTTGTTCGAACGAATTCGATATTGTTGTTGTATAGTGTAATCACCACGACTCGCATCGAAGGCGAAACGTGGCTAAAAACCGGCATCGATTGTAATAAAGAGCAACGCGTTCGCGTTAATTACTTGTAATCCTTTTCCTTTTTATGTTAAGGGTAACATTTAGCAATGTTCGCAAGTTTAGTATGAGCTAATTGATATTTACCTCCATTATAAAAAAAAAGAGTGCCGAATAATGCAACCGTAAAAGAAACGTTGCAAAAGTGTGTAAACAAATTCTTCTACGTTAATCTTTCGGACGTCATTTGTAAGTGATATCTTGACGTTTGTTATGTGTTGTTCTACAAATCCAAATAGCACCAATCTACGAACAGTTTTTATATTATTTCTTTTTTTTTTAATGATACAGAAAATACGAAGAGACTCTGTTCGCATTTAAACTTGAATCTTTGTCTTTGTACTTTTTCCGAAATAGTAAGTAATATAATGCACTATCGATTAACAGACTCCGCTGTATTCGCTCAATGTCTCAAATTATACGATGTAGATATTAGAGGAATCAGAGATCTCACATTCACCAGAATACGGCATTTAAAAGAGAAAAACGCAGTCGCGTAAAAAAAAATTTCTCCCCGTTAACGATAAGACGAAACTTGATATGTCATAATTATCAAAGAACAAGAATACACGTAAAGAGTAGAGGTATTTTTTATATAATATTATATATTTATTTATAATTTTTTCATACTCTTTCGATCGTACGTTTAGCATCAGACATAGCTATCTAGTTTTAAGTTGTACGAGGAAAGTGATCCGTATATATTACATAAAAATAAGATTTTTTAGAATACAACAGAAGAAATCACGACGATGAAAATATGGATGTGTTCTGACGTATGTGAGTTTTCTGGTTCACTTTAAACGATGAGATTATTATCCCTTTGATAAAAAAATCAACGATTAAATATGTTCGAATAGCTTCGACGAAAGTCAGAGCTCTATTTGTAATCTAAATTTTTAAATATTACTTCGTAAAGTAATAATAGCGAGGAAGGTTCGCGATTCTCGCGAACGTGAATAATAATTAATAATAATAATAAAGAATGAGAGAGGAAATAAACGTCATTGGCGTTGGTAGCTGTGCGCCAAAATCAGAGATTCTGTATTTTGTCAGATAACTATAATTATTATTGCGCCAGTGTAACATAAGACTTTGATATGTATTGTTAGTATGCATCGTGTGGATATTACAGAGAATAAATTTAAATATAAAACATACATCAAATATACGAGCATACGCATATGTACACGTGTGTTTGTGTGTGTAAAGAATAAACTTAAGACACTATGTAAACACAATTTCAAAAATAACTTTTAATATAGATTTACTTGTGTAAAATATAAGGAGAACTAATTGTGCTCAATAAATTTCAATAAATAACGATTTTGCCTATGCTAATAATTATCATTACTGAAATTATTTTTGTGTAGTTTTAAAAGGATATATAAAATAGCATCAGGAAATTATTAGATCTATTCTTTTTCAAAATATTCTGCACTAGTTCTGAACTAATGCAATATATATATATAGTTAGATATATAAGTTAGAATGAACAATAAGTTAGAATGAAACAAATTATATCTCACTTTATATTTCACTTTAATTTATTGCACCAGTGTATCCCAGTTCAGAACTTTCTTCGAAAAAAAATAGAAATAAATTCAAATTAAATAACTTTATGTACAGGATGTCGCATAATTCGTGAATTACTTCTCATCAGGCAAGTGGAAT